ATTTGTAACTGGCAGAAGAGCTGCTCAGTTGTGTCTGGGTATAAGTGTCTCTTCTGTTCTTTGCAACTGCTGTTGTGAGAAGGACAAAAGAGCGTTAGGGCTCGCTCTTACGCAGTTACTTTCTCCTGCAAACAAGTGAAGTGCACACTTCCGTGTTTTGATGTCTTGTGCAAGTATGAAAGGAGGCATTGCTGGCCACAGGACCTGTGGGGCAGGTTGGGATTCCTGTGTCTTGTGAAATCGGGTGCTGAGGAGGCCTTGCCCAGGTGCCAAGGTGGTGGTGCCGTTGCTGCTTCACAGGACTCTCTCCTTCCGGATGAGCTCCTCATCCCAGTGCTTGTTGCTGATCAGGAATGAGAGAAGTAGACTGAAACTCCTGGGGCAGGGGAAAGGTTCAAGTGATCCAGGCTCCTTGCCTGGAAAATACTGGCTTGTTTGGTTCGTTTTTCAGTAATTTAAATCACAGATCATCTCTATAGTGGGATAGGTGACACTAACTGCATCTGACCATCCCAATAGATGTATTGCAGATGTTTATCTTCACAAATATCGCTAGCTTGCGCTAGAGACTTTGTGCACAGGTAGCAAGATGAAGAAAAGTCTGTGTCTGAATTTCAAAGCTTTCTTTGTACGCGTGTTCTTGTGTCCCTCTGTCTTCTGTGACTCACAGCACGACACCATGTACGTCCTGTGTGGTCCCTGATCTGCTAGTGAAGGTAACAGCTGCTGGGTGGTGCTAGGAGGGTGCCAGTCCTTGCAGTGGGACTTCAGTAAGCAACTTTAAACTAACTTGACTTCCCTAAAATCCAGAAACTCATTTGCCTCTTCAGGAAGAGGTGGTAATGCCTTGTCCTGCCATGCTGGGATCTGTAACCATCACAAGATAACGTGCAGGCGCTTCAAGCCTGTTTGACGATAAGAAAAGCAACTGGTTCGGTATAGTTTTCCCTTAGAATAGGTCTTTCCCAGACAGGCATTTGACCTGTTCATAGAATTACAACAGCCACTGTAAGGGGGCCCTGTGGGAAGAGCTTGCTGCCCTTCTGGGAATCAGGAGACGAGCTTCCACTCCTGCTTGTTGCCTGTTTGCTTTGTGATCCATGAGGCCTCTCCCGCTACCTTTGTGTTGTGTGTTTTCTACATGACAATCTGTTCAGCAGAGAAAATGTCTTTTACTTCTTTTGTGCAATATTTGGGCTGAAGTAGCTTGGAGAGAGGAAAACTGCAGCTGGTTGAGAAGTCAGTCGCTAATTTTTGCTAACCAAATTGTAGCAGAGATAAATTTCCCTGAAGAGTACTGTCCTTTATTGAAAATGGTGCTGTATCTTTACATACAATGAATTGAAAACCATGTAAAAAACTTTAAAATGCTTATGCTCACTAAGCTTTTCCTATTTTAATGTGCTTGAAGCTCCTTCAAAGCAGAAGCGTTGCTGCTCTAGGGGAAAGTGCTTTAACTCTAGATTCTGCTTAAATTTACTCATGACTGTCAGATTTTCTTTGACCTGTCTCTGTAAGGTAGTTTGTAAGGGAGAGATCCTTCAGTTAACTGCTGGCATAACCTTATACCTCCAACCTAAGGCTGTGGTTAGAGATGGTTTGCATGGATGCGCTGTTTGATACTGCCCGTGGCTGGAGTTGACAGGGTATTTCAATTCAGTCTCATAAGGCTTTGATTCTACTGGTAGTGGAATTGAGACTGAAATAAAGGAGGTGAAATTATGACCCTACTGAAGTCATTAGCAAAGCTACCATTGAGTAAAGTAAAGTTAGGATTTCAGCCAAGGGTTTTAGTTGTTTAATTTATGGTAACATATTAATTGAGTTGTATTAAAACCAGGTTTTTGAAAAGTTAATCTTTAGCTTCATGATGCCATTTCCATCCCATAAATATGGCACACAGTGTTTCTAAAATTTTACCTTTTTTGGGCAGGTTGATAGAGGTAGAAGATTTTAATTTATTTTTCTAATTCGTGTGTTTGCACTCCTGAGACAGAACTAAACTACGCAGCTGACATTATTTCTAGAAATGAAAAGGGCTTTATCCTAAATCTTCTAATTCTTTTATAGTATATGGCAGCAGAGCTATCTTACACTGCATCCTGCAGGAAATACTTGGCATACTTGTAAGCTCCAGGGAGATGAGAACAAGGGTGATAACATCCATTAGTGTTGCTTTTGAATGAGAACTTGCATAAAGCCTTTCTCTAAAAAACCACCAACTATTACATTTAAGGGCTTTTTAGCAAAAGGAATTTATTGCAAGCTTTTGACCTTCCTGTGCTGTATGAAGCTTTGCTGGTGTGTACGCCAGAAAAGCCTGTTGATTAGTAGGCTCTTTGAAAACTGTGTGCTGCTCTTCTAGAAAGTCGACATCTGGACTGTATTTATTGTACTGTTTTCTCTTTGCTGGATGTGCCGGAGTAGATTTCCCTCCTTTAAAATTTAATAAACTTTGTTTCTGTAATTTGAAAGAAAGTATTATTTATCTGGCTTTAGAGGCACGGCTAATAATGCTTTCCCAAGCTCTGATGACAATACGAACAAATTGTATTGTTTTAAAATGTAAATGTATATTTTGCTGTACTTCTTTTCTTACTTCTCTTACCTGCTGGAGTAGTTTTAGCATTAAGCATATTGTAATATATGTCTAGAAACAGGCAAGACTGCTTTTATTACTGCTTGTAGCCATGAATTATGTTAATGTAAACACTGTGGTAAAAGGGAAACTATAGAAATGAAGACTGCTTGGGATGCAGGAATTGCCATCTGAGGTCTTTTTCTACGTACCAATCTTTACATTTGTCCTGTGTGTGGTAACTGGGCCAGGCTGAAATGGGATTTTTTCATTAAGAGTCAAAGTGTGTTGTTCCACTTGTAATGGTCCCAAAGTACACCCAGTTTCTGCATTGCATATTGATGGTATCTTGGCAAAAAGGAAACTCTGTTATCCATTAGCCAATTCTGAGAGTACTTTTTGTAATCAGCTCTTCAGGTAATACCTTCCACGTTTCTTCATGCAATGAGCAGAGCTAACGTAGTCAACAAGTTTCAAGGGAACCTCCAGAAAGTTTTGAGTGCAGGGATTTCTGATCTTTCCTGTTCTGTTTTATTTTCCAATGATATTTGTAGTTTTGTGAGGAAAAATGGAACAAAAATGGTTTTAGACTCGGTGGTGTAGTTGCTTCTGAGAAGCAGAATCCATCAATAAAATTGGGTGCCTTGGTTAATGCTCTACTGTTGCAGGCCATGATTTGGTAACGGGCTGTGAGAAATATCCCGCAGCTCATCTGCAGAATAATTTTGTTCAATGTTTTCAGTTAAAAGCTTTCTCCTGTAGAACCCAGGGGCTGATGCTGTTCTGTCAGGTTGAACAGATGAGCTGTTTCACCCAAACCTTGTACCTAGCTCTTGTCGGCCACTCTTCCATGATGAACTTGCTAAGCTGCTGTGAGTGAGCTTTTTTGGTCACCATCACTTCTTGGAGAAATGCATGTCCTCCCATCTCTTAGCAAGAGGTCACCTCTGTTGTCCTGTGAATCACTCTGCGATTCTATGGATGGTAAGAAGAAACAAGATTGTTTTAGAGTCTGTTCTCTTTGAAAATCTGAGGTAATGTCCTTTCTGTATATGCAAAGTTAGAATTTCAAGTGCTGTATTGTCTCATTTTTGCTGATGTTAACTGTAATGTGAGGATAGGGATGCTTCTGAGCTGCCTATCTGATCAGGAAATACAGGTGTGAAGGCACTAAATGCCTACAGAAATGCAGACGAGCTACAAAACTGGGATATGCAGCATGGTGAAGGAAGGGATTTATGAAGACTGCTAAAGAATGTGCTGAAATTCCTCCCGGTAAAGTAACATTTCCATTGAAGTATCTTTAGCTGAGAAATATGCAAGCACACAAAATGTGTACTTGTCATTCTTACAAAGTAGTTGGCTTCCAAAAGTTTAATTTCTGAACAGCTGTTGAATGTCAGAAGGACTTTCACTCTTTCGGTGCAAATCGCCGTAATAAAATCCTTTTTAGCTTCACACCCTTCAGAGCTGCAGTCACTGTGTCACTTGAAATGGGATCTTTCTCATGTACGTCACTGCCATTGAATCGTGGCTAAGTTAGACCTGGTATTCCCTTGGTGTGGATTTATCCAAAGACCAGACCCAGGTTTAAAAGAAAACAAACCCCAACAAAACTGTAGTAACGTCGTTTGTGATTGATGTGATGTGAACATGGTCGCATTTCCTGCCTAGAATGTAAACCCCATATGTAAACCTGGCAATAAATCGTGTCTAAACTTGTTCTGCTTTAAATCTGCCTCTGTCTTAAAAACGAGTGTGCATTTGCTATCTTTATTGATCAGCGTGCTGCACTGCTCTGCACTAATAAATTAATTTCTTAATTCATGTAGCCCTATGGCCACAAACGTATTGTTAAACTAGCTAAGAGTCTGCAATGAGCAGTGCAAATAATCTGTTTGGTTAAAGTGTGTTCGCTGTACTTTGAAACTGGCTTCTAAAGATATTGAATGTTTCCATCAACTTGGTAATTCTTATAACCAGCTTCTGCAATATAAAAGATACTAAAATGGTGCTAAATGTAGAAGTGTGTATAACTATATAGTTATTTTAAAAGTACGTATATGTATTTGCACTCTGAAGAATCTTCTCTCTGGCCTTGCGGTTGAGGCACAGGACAAGTCTGGTTTTTATTACTGAAGGTAACAAAGGAATTCAGGCATACAGACAAAAGCTGTTAATCAAACTAATGTTAACGCGTTGTATCAACATCTTCACGCGAAGGAGATCTTTAGGATGAAGAAAGTATTTTAAACAAATACCTTGTCATTCCCTGCAACATCATCGGGTTTGGTTTAGAGGGTTCGTGAAGGTCTGTTGCGTAGTCAAAGCCATAAATGGAATGAAAGGAGGTTGCCACGAACAAAGGATTGATAAGTTGTTGAAAATTAATTTTGAGGAAAATGTCTGAAATGTTTTGCAGAGGTGAATCTGGTGCCGGGAAGACTGAAAACACTAAGAAGGTTATTCAGTACCTTGCTCATGTTGCTTCCTCCCATAAAGGAAGAAAGGACCATAATATTCCTGTAAGTTGAGATATCTTCTCATTTGTTTATTGCTCTTTTTGAAAAGGACAACTTTTGCATTAAAAAACCCACAACTTTTTTATTAAAGCTAAGCTGTCATATAATCCACATAACTTTGTCTCAACCGTTATTTTCTCTTTAGTAGCTGCTGAGATGTGCAGTTACATCAAAATTTCCAGTTAATGTTCACTGTTTAACTTATGTTGTGAAATTCAAGGCTTTATGCAAACATTGTAACTAGAAACAGTATCAGAGTTTTCTGATGCTGTAAACCCCAGTTTTCAAAAAATTTAATTAACTTGGGCAATTCTTAGTGAATTTAGTTCCCAGTAGATGCAGTTTTCAGTGCTGTATTTGTGAGTGAGCTTTCTGTTCTTTAAAAATTAACTTGTAGATTGGAAAAATCATCAAGCTTAAAAACTGCTGTAGACTTGCTCTACCTAAAAATCAGCAGCTAAAAACAAGCTCAGATTTTATAACACTACAGCTAAGGTGTATACATTTTTATGTCAGAGAATGCAGGTTTTGTGGGAACTTGTCGCTACCTCTGATTGATTTATGTAAACTTTCTTCAGATTCACTCCCAGATTTCAGAATTTGCACTGAATTTTTAGCGGTTCTTTGCTTTAAAAAAATATGAATGGGTTTGAATATTTGTTGCTTTGAGCACTTTGATCTCTTTGCAGTGGAGTGTTAGTGCAGCTTTGCCATGAGCAAGTTGCTTCCTCCGACCGATACTGCCTTACGCCTGCTTTTCTCCAGGAGCACCATAGGTTGGAAGCTTTCAACCTGTGTCGTCTGACGTAGCAGCAACAATTTCTGTAATTTCTAGTGTATGGCACTTAGCATTAAAAAATTCTTGAATGCGTCAAGACTCAAACTCCTGGAAAAACGAGAGACGACTTTTGACCAATCTGTGAAGAGGAAAAAAAAAAGGCAAGCAAGGATTTGCAGTGGGAGACAGGAAAAGGTTGCTCTCTGGGTAGATTTGGAGAAACCTAGTTAAGCTGGAAAAATGAGAGACAACTTTTGACCAGTCTGTGAAGAAAAAAAAAAGACAAGCAAGGATTTGCAGTGGGAGACAGGAAAAGGTTGCTCTCTGGGTAGATTTGGAGAAACCTAGTTAAGTATATGGGGAAACTTGAATCTTTGCTCTAATCGAGAGCAAATAACATGACCTTGAGTGTTGACGCTTATTCAAACTGTTGCTGGTTTATCACACAGAAAAGGTCAAAATGAGTCTTTGTATAAGTATTTATTGTGCAGTCTGGTTGTGTCACAGGTTGTGTCCACACCAGCTCCAGGCCTTGGAAGGAAGTTTCCTGTGACTGGAGTGGCAGCAGTATGTGGTGTGTGTTCATGGCACTGTCCTGTGTTGGGAGGGTACGTGGCTCAGGGGAGTGCTATTTAGAGCCTCATCCATCAGAATTGGTTTTCTGAGTACGTTTTGATTTATGAATATTGGCTTTACTGCTGTGCAGCTTTGAACAAAACTAGCTTTTTTAAAAATAACTTCTAGAGGAGTGAAATTGCCTACAGCTTTTTAAGGGAGAAGGGAATTATGCAGAGAAGGGAATTGTGCAGGGTTTGTACCAAGTACTTCTAAATAGCTATTGGCAATTTGCAATGCCTCAGGTTGAAAGAGACTTCTGGAAGCTTCTTGTCCAGCCTCTGTTCAAAGTGTGCCTACCTTCAATGTTAGATTACGCTGCCCAAGACCTTGTAAAGCTGGGTTTTGAAATCTTAAGGGATGGAGACTATGCAACCTCTCTCCAATCCTGTTCCAGTGCTTAACCCCCCAAAGCCCTGGTTTTGGTTGTTTAAAAGTGCTCTGTGTTTGTCTGGCCTTTCTCACACTGTGTTTCCATGAGCACTTTGTGCCAGTGCCTCTGCTGAAGGAAGGAGCCCTTCTTGAGCTTTGTCAACGTAACGGTTCCTGTGGCCGCTCACTGGGCTTGGAGACTGGTGCAGGCTCAAACTGGTGTTCTTCAAGTCCATCTGGCTTTAAACAAAACAAGTTTACTTTGGTTTTTTTATTGCATGACTGCATAACTGGTATGAAGTAGAGGCACAGAAAAGAAAGAGGAAATCTGAAGTGAAAAATGTCAGTGAAGGGAAGGAGGAGTTCTTTTTAGCACAGTGTTGGCTAATTCCATTCGATTGCTGGTTGAACTGCAATTCTTTGCTTACTGGTGTGATCAGATGGGATGGTGGTGTTCATCTCAAAAGAGTTTTGGAGATGGTTGTTGTGATCAGCTGCCTCATGAACCATTGGTGACTGCCATGATGAAGACTGGAAAAGTTTTCATTCTTTGTAAAACGTAGGTTAGGCACAGCAAAAAGAACAGGGTAGAGTCTTGAATAAAAGTTTGATACTCAGATTGTGCTTTTCAACCAACGCAGTGCCACAGTAAGCACTGAATTAAAAATGTTTATGAAAAATGCAGAATGCAAAAAAAAAAGCCAAAGACAGTTTTGAAAATACGAGTGAGTCTTCCTTGTTCTGCAACAATTCATTTTTACTTTATATATTGCAAACCAAGAATGTCTAACCCATGCACATAACACTCAAACGTTAGGAAGTGTCAGAATTGGGTTATATGTGCAGCCCTAATTTGTTCCTGTTTACATACACGTCAGAGAGCTGGTGGTGAGCCGTGGTATCCATCTGTACAACCTGTGCATTGTCCTGTGTCTTGTTAAATAGACTGCTAGTCACAGATTTATTTTTAACCATCTTCTTACAAATAATTATTGGTTACAGGCATTTTACTGAGGCTGGTCTGAATGCTGCATGGATTTTTTTTTTTTATGTAGCGATTTGCACACTGACGAATGAATAATTGTCTTCCCAACACCGCTCTGAAGCCTAGGGTTAACGGTGTCTGTTTTGTCTGACAAAGCGCTGTAAAAGTATTACAGATAAATGTAGCTCCTGGTTTGACCCCTCGGGCATGGCCAGCCCAGCACTGATGTTCTGCCATGCCACAGGCACTCACCAAGTGCGTTCTTCAGCGGCACTGGTTGTGAAACGCTCGGCGTATGCGAGGAGCATCACGTAGGAGCTCTACTTATCCCTTGGACGTCCTCATCACGTTTGTCACTCAGCTGCTTGTCCAGGAGACTTTTCTTTCCCCACAGCCCTCTTTCCTAACAGCTCGTGGCCATGCACCTGCGGGGAGTCCTAGGTAGCCTTTGGCACGTCACCCTCTGAGAGGGGTGCTGTGGGAAATGGAGTCAGTAACACATTGTAACCCAGAGGTGGAATTCCAGCGCTGAACAACCCTAATACTAGCAATTCCTCATTTTTGAGTGTTTCAATCTGTAGCCACACTGTCTCATTTCCTGTTAAATCCCCAAGAATGTTAGAGGTACTGGCTTGGGCACTGTGCTAGGAAGTGTGGGTAGGTGTTGGTGGTGAAAGTGTAGAAGAGAAGCTTTAAGGATTGTGGGACTTGGCAGAGCAAGGTGAGACTAAGGTTGTCCCTTAAATTAGAAAAAGAGAGACTGGGCTTTCTAGAACCAAGTGATGGAGGGGAGGAAGAAGGGCTCAGCAGTGAGCTATGAACACAGACTCATCTGCAGACTGGAGGTGGGGTGGAAGGGAGCCTGAATCCTCGTCCGTGGCCTGCATGGTTGAGAGTCAGAGCTGACACACGTACAGTCCTGGCAGGTGTGTAGCAAGGGAGGGGAGGGAAGATCTGTTGTTAATAACTGAAAGCTTGAGCTTAGCATCCAACAGATTTGAGCTTTAAGAGTCTGGGAGGAGTGGAGTGGTAGTGTTAAGAACTTTCCCAGTAAATGTTAATATTTTGCCTGCACTGAGCAGATTGTGGTTTATTCAGCTATTAACCGTGCTGTGCATGGGCCAGCTTTATGAAGGCAACCATTGTGCTATAGCTTGGGCATCTCAGACAAAAGGTGACCCACACTGGTGTCTGTTGGTCTGGTCAGCTGTCACATGCTCCTAGGCCACACATAGGAGCCTCCGTCACCTTCGCTTATTCTTCTATAGGCTCAGCAGGTGTGGAGAAAAGGATGTGTAGAATAAAGGAGAGGAAGAGAACAAGGACAGGTAACTGGTGAGCGCGAGGAGAAGGCTGGTGTGTCTAGAGGGGGTTTTGGACAAATTAAGCAAGGAGGGTAGGGAGGAAAGGAGACTTCTAAACTGCTTAGCTTTGGCTCATCGCTCCCCTATGCACTACATGAGACGAGAGAGACACCAGAATGAAGTCATGTTGTTAATGCATATGTTAGAGCTGCTTTAACATGGTTAAGTAGTGAGTTTTAATTCTGGCTCCTGGGTTCTGCTTTAGTTTAAAAATGTTGTGGTTTTGGATGGGGAGGGAAGTCAGTGCAAAATATGGAAATAATTTTTTTTTTTTAATTGCATACATGGCTTTCCAACAGAAGGAAAAGTGCTGGTTGTCACTTCATGCCCAGGGACTGCCGTGAACATGCATGCTCTACAGACTGCATGAGGCTGGAGGACGCTCTCAGCTGTACCTGTAGACTCTAAACATATCGGGACCCTGCTCATGGTCAAATACATGAAATCAGCAGATGTTTCCAGTCACAGCAGTGTGCTAAGGAGCTCTATAACTGCATCCATCCACCGCTGCTGTTTCACTTCCAGTCATCCTGTACAATGTGCCTCTGGTTCACATGAACCAAAATTACATCTTTGATCACTTCCCCTCTCCCCAAAGCTTTCCCACCCCAAACGCCCTCAGTTGTCACTAAAATTTAAGGTTCAGAAATAGAAACATAAGTCATTAGGTTGGAAAAGAATTACTGGTTCTGGTGCTTTCAGGTTAATGATGGTTTTCAGTGACTGCATTTGCCTTTGTAGCTGAAATACTAAATTGCTTAATCTGTTTCATTAATTTCAAAAGAAACATAATTGGTTTTGAGGTACAGGATCTTGGGTAGGCTTGCTCAGACTGAAGCTCCCCTTAGTGGGGATTTCCCAGATGAGCTTTAACTGCCCTAATTTAAACACAGGAGTTAAATGTGTCTCTGATTATGTTCCCTTTTGTTTCTGAGGCCTGAAATGGGCACCCTGAGAGAGCAGTTCGTCTGCTCTGAAGATAAGCAAAGGAAACAAAATGCCTGTAGGTTCCTAGGTGTACCTGTCCTCCAGTGACTGCAGCAGGAGTGGTGGTTTCATACTGAAACAGTAACATTTTTTTTTAGGTGCCTGAGTTGTTTTCTGAGCAGATTTGATGCAGCTTTGCAAAATTCCCATCACTTAACTGAATAAACCAAACCTTTGCCAGCTGCTTTACAGACTTCTCTCAATCTGATTTTCTGCACTAAACCAGTGCTGGTTGTTTAAAATGATAGACATAAACGGAGGCCATGAGCATCTGGCTTGGTATGAAAGTCTCTTGATGTGTGCGTTTCACCACAGTATTTTCCCCCTATGCTCTGATGTGAAGCTCAAGATTATTGATCTTGCAGACTGAGCCAAGGAAGGAATGGAATCAAAAATTTCTGCAGAAACTGTCCAATTTGAATTTTGAGGGAGTTTTTATTTCATTTTATTTTATTACTTTCATGGTCTGTTTACCCTTCTTCTTGGCAAAATTTGAAGGTCTTCTGGTTTCTTAAAATTTTGCTCCTTCTTATGCGAATGGTAGGTCTTGAAAAAAAGAAACAAAGCGTTTGTCTCAATTGTAGGTTTACATTTCTGAAATACTTGAAGTACGGTGCAGAACCAAAACCCTAGACTCCTTAAGACTCATGCTTTTCCTCTTGGTTCTTTCATGACCTTTTTGAAGAAGAACGATCATGTTATCCATACAAACGCACCTTGCAGTGACTGTGGCTGTACAGAAAGTTACTTGGTGGTGTGGGCTTACTTTTTTGGTTTTGTTCAGCAAAGCTGTGGAAGGCAGTGCACAACTGACTAAACTATTGCCCTTTCTCCTTGCTGCTCAAGGTCCGTCTGTCATCATGTGTTGTATTTGGAATTAGTGCTTTGTATAAACACAGGTTTTAATATTTTGCATATGCAATGACAAGCGAATAACTTCTTTTCTAAAATTAGTTTAAACCATTTCTATGAAGTGAGTATATAGTTAAACTAAACCTACTGACATGAGTAATGTGGGATGTAACTTGCAGCTGGAATGCTTGCTTGCTAACATTTGCATTTGTTTGTTTGCAATGAACAGCCCGAATCACCTAAACCCGTGAAACATCAGGCAAGTGTTTTTCTTTATGCTTTTAAAGTTATGTAGGTGAACTGATTATATATTCTTCTATTTTCTGTCAATTTGTATTTGTAACATGTGGGAAATCTTGTAGAGTTTTACACGTAATAGTAAACTCTGTAAATGTTTAATTGGCTTTGAGAGAGTGGACTAGTGAAGAGCTTACGAGTTCCTCAGCATTGCAAAGCACTTCTCACCATGTCGAAGTGGTGTTCCTGTGTCCTGAAGCAGAAGGTTCCCCCTCTCGAGCTGACCCTCTCCAGTGTGCTGTGGCTATACTGGGTTCATGTGCTACTGAGAGACTGTAGGACGCTTTTTAAATAATAATCAAAGTACTAAATAAAAGAGATTAATGGAAGTTACAAAAATTTGTGATTAACATACTGTTTGGTCTGAATATTTCTATAGCTTCTCAGGTAACCTGATAAAGTCTTTGATTTCAAGGGTGAAAGGCTTGGCATAACCCATCACCTTCTGAAATCAAGTGTTTCCCCTGACTCTCTAGGATAAGTGGTGTGAGCGACGTGGTGTCTGTTCAGTGTTGCTGCCTGAACTGATGTTTGAGCTTCAGCCGCTCTTACTGCCCAGGTTGGCCAGAGCTGCCACGCACATAACGCTGCCCGTTACCCACTCCCCGCATCCCCCTCTACCCCTGGGCAGCAGTCGGTCTGTTCTAGCCCAGCTCCTCGTACGAGAGCAGGAGTTGCAGTCCCAGCGCTGTGGTGAAGGAGCGTAAAGAGAAGGGTTAGGTGGAAGTTGACGGTAAGACTGTGGAAAGAGTTGAAAAATTACTGCCACGTGTTATGCAAGATAAATGCTCTACTCTAACCTGAGGTGGTAAGTGATGCCTTTTTGTCTTGGGCATGAGCTTTTAAATAAAGAAAAAGCTTTGCAACAGCTCCAACTTGGTGTAACCAAGGCTTGATAACTGAAGAAGCTCCCATGGGTTAGTTTAGGTGATTATATTCTTCCCCTTACATTTTTCTGAAAGCTGACTGTAGTGCAATTTAAACTGTAGTGGAGAGGAAAATAATAAAAGAAACTTCAAGTTTGGTCTGGTATATTGGAAGCAAAAACATATCACATGGACAGCTGTGATGCCTTTGCTGGTGTGTGGTAACTTCTTAAACCTCTGTAACCCAATCATGTGTCTGAGCCCACTGTCTCATTTTCAGAAGTTACAGACATTCTTAGTATTCGACCTAATCCTCCCTCCTTGCAAACCTCAGTCAGTTCTAAGGGTTTTCATTAAAATATTTCTCTGTTCCAAAAATAGATGGAGCAGTGTTTAGTTTAACCCTCCTTTTGCTTAGAGTTAGGATGTCGGTGTTGAAATAATAAACCATTTGTTGAGAAACACTTTAAATGTATCAGCAGAAATGTGCTAATCCAGAAGTGTTTATACTGCATAAATCATAATCATTAACATTTCTGTTTCAATGTCATTTTGAACTACAGAGTGGATCCCTGTTGTATGTGAGTAGCGTGTAGTTGTCCTTGCCTCACCCAGGCTTCACAACAAACTGAATCGCTGGGATGCTGATTTTTCTGAAACTGAGACAATAACCTCTCCTTATCTTAATGTTGCCCTGCATGAAATATTGCATGACTTCACTTTTTCCACAGTACTGTGATACTGCTTTTTCCAAGTTCTGTTTAGATGCCTACACAGGAGATATGCCTATAGCCCAAACCTACACTCTTT